AACACTTTAAAATCAGGAAAGTTGGGCTGGGGAGATGGCTCAGCAGTAAAGAGCACTGGCTGCTCTTGCTGAAGACCCAGGTTCAGGTCCCAGCACCCACATGGCAGCTAACAACTGTTCATAACTCCAGTTCCAGGGGATCCAACACCCTGTTCTGATCTCCAAGGGCACTGCATGGCCCAGGGGCACTTACATACATGTAGGCAATACACTCAATACACATTGAAAATAAAGATAATAAACAAAATTTTTTGAAAATCAGGAAAGTATTCTAGAGAATTCTATCAGCTTCTACGTCAGGCTGGAAAAGAAAAGACAACTTCTACCTGTCCACTCAAGAGTACATTCAGGGGCTGCTCTCCTTTTTCTTCTTGGGCAGCAGCTCTCCTACAACAGGGCTTGTTTAGGGAGAATGAGGAAGCAAAGCTAGAGGGTCTGTGTTTCTTTATCATCACTCCCCATTCTAGCCACTATGACCACTGTGCCACACCCCTGCCATCACTCCCCGTGTAACCCCTGTGCTCCCCAGCAGGGACTGTCAGCCCTCTAGGGCTGACATCACTCCAGGCCCATGGGTATTTTGTGTTGCCCCTGGGCAGGCCCTGCTACCAGAAGCAGGCTGGACTTTCAAGGCCTCTTCTGCTCTGTGGGAGAGCCTTGGCCATGTAAGGGAAAAACTGTTTGTAAGACAATCTCAGCAGCATGTGTGTACCTTGAAACTCTAAGGGCCATAAACTGTGAGAATATTTCCTTACTTCACTTCTTGTGCAATTTGTGCTTGCTGGGCCTACAAAGAGAAAGATCTCACAGACACATACATCCATGTACACACACACTGGAGGAACCTGGGTTAGGAGGGAATCTAAAACCTGCTGTTTTCACTTTCAGTGATCTTCTCCCCTGCTGGGGGACCCCACCCCACACACCAAAAGAGGGTCTGAGTCTCAGATGAGCATTTCATACAAGAGAGACAGACACAGTAAAAGTTTCTGTGAATGAAACCTTGGTCTTGGTCTGTGGGTGACCACCAGAGGCAGTGTGACAGCTCAGGGCTAGTTGGCACCCAGCATCTTAGAGCTTATCCTCTTTGTTCCCATCCCAACCCTGCTTGGGCAGCCAGCCAAGCAGCTCTGTGCAATTCAACTAAATTTATAGGACACTATGCAGCTTGGCACCGTGCTTAGAAACACAAAGTCATTCTGGTAACATGTCTGTTGCAAGCTTTGCGACCTTGGGCTTCTAGAGTGACTGTGTTCTTGCTCTACCTCACAGAAACTGGAATGGAGCAAGAAAAATGATGAGGTACTCAAAAAGCCTAGGCTTCTATGCAAAGACACAAGGACAGTCATGGCTGTCTGTCTTGTTCTTTATTTACTTATTCTTTTGGTTATTCTTTAAAGTAGGGCCTTACTATACAGCCAAGGTTGGCCTTGAATACTTGTTCCTGCTTCAACTTTCTGAGTGCTGGGATTACAAGCATCCATCACCAAGGCCTGCAGCTATAAGTTTAAATAAGTTGTAGAAGGCAGAAATCTTTTATTTTCATTTATTTCATTTTACTTTTTGTTTTAATTTTTAATTATTTTTATTTCATGTGTATGAATGTTTTGCCTGCATGTATGTAGGTGTACCATGTTTGTACAACACCTGCAGAGGCCAGAAAGGGTGTCAGATCCCCTGGAACTAGAGTTACAGACAGTTGTTAGCCATCATCTGGGTGCTGGGATCCAAACCTGGGTCCTCTGCAAGAGCAGCCAGTGCTCTTAACCATTGAACTATCTCTCCAGTCCCCCATTTTACCTTTTATTTCATTTTTTGAGATTTTGGGGGGGGTCTATAGCTGTGACTATATTTCTCCTAATGACTTTTTTCAGTTAACAACCAACGATGCAGTACTTTTTCTTATCTGTGGCTTAGCTTTCCACTACTTTAGTTACCAGAAGTCAACTATGCTCTAAAAATAGTAAATAAATTTTGCCGGGCGTGGTGGCCCATGCCTTTAATCCCAGTACTCTGCAAAATCGAGACTAGCCTGGTCCATAGTGAGCTCCAGGCCAGCTGAGGCTACATGGAGACCCAGTCTCAAAAAGACCAAAAAAAACTAATAAATTTCAGAAGTAAACAATTCATAATATTTAAATAAAGTGTAATATAGTTATAACTGTGTAATTTTATTGCTACTAATATTTTGTTGTACCTAATTTAGAAATTAAACTTCATAATAGACATGTATATATAGGAAAAAGCAATATTTACAGAATTCAGTACTATCTGTGGTCTTAGGCATCCTGGGGGGCAGATCTTAGAATATATTCTCCACAGATAAGATGGAACTAGTGTAGTTCCAATTGTATTTAATGAGAGATCCTGAGATAGTAACATAATTTCTATTTTTAATACCATCTAGTCTGTAAGGGACTATGGAGACACTGTGAGCTGAACATTCTGGAAGCTCTTGGCTTGAGCCAGGTGAGTTGGCATGTGGAGGGACCAGGTTTGAGAAGGACACAGGGTCTGGGCCTATGCCTGCATGCAGGATCCAGTTAGTTGTGGTTAGGATCAGGGACATCAGGGAGATCAGAACACATAATGGCATAAACAATAAGATATAGAATTGGATGAGTGGGGTAGAGAAGAGTAAAAATATTTCCTAGGTATCAGTTAGTATAGTACATAATTCCACACACTTTATATAATTTCATTTAATCATAACAACCTTGTGAACAGGGTGTTATTACCTTGATTTTTCATATGAGGACCAGGTACAAAAAAGCTACCAATGGAGCAATACTTGATGCAAGGTGAGGCAGAGGATATGGCTCCCCAGCCTCAGGCAAGGTATAGTTAAGAAGCTAATACATTTGCTTGCCCTGTGCTAGTGGCTGGCAAAGCCCAAGTTCCAGTCTACCATTCTTCTCCAGGCCACTGCATGCTCTTTTTGTTTTATTTCGCCTTCCTAGTAACTTCCCTACCAACTTACAAAAAAGACAAAATGGGTTCTATCTGCATATGAGTATATATTTACTATACATTGTTAAAGAAGAAAATAAGCTCCTTTGACCCCATACCACCCAGTTGAGGACACAGAATGTCTCCAAAGCCACTGAAACCCTATAGATATTTCCCTCATCTCAGTCTTCACCCTTCCAGTTCCCAGAGATGACTTCAGCACTGAAATGTGTGATGTCCCTTTTGCTCTCCAGTATAGCCACACACACACATTTGCCATGTGATTGCATTTGGCTCCTCCATATCCTTTCCCCAACCGTCTCTACCTGCCCTGTGCCCTCCTGAGGCTGACCTCTCCTGACTGCACAGGAACAGAAGGTGGGGAGGGAGCACTGCCCATCATTGCCCCCGGATGGGTTTTGTCAAAACAAAGCCCTGACAGCAGATCAAAGTACAGGACAGTGAGGTCCAGTCTTTGTTCCCCTGTTCTCTCATGGCTGGATCTACCAGGATCCAGACAGAAAATCCTCTCCTAAAAGCTCCCTGAACTCTCAGATTCTGCAGGCCCCAAATGGCAAGCTCCAAAACACTATCCGAGCCCTAGGGTAGTGCATCATTCCTTGCAGGTCCCCCTTCCTACCTAGTGTTTCTCAACACCACTCCCTCCTCCCTCCCTCCTCTCTCTCTCTCTCTCTCTCCTCCCCTCTCCCGTGTGTGGTGTGTGGGGTGTCATGGGTCTCTCTCCCCCCTCTCTCTCTCTCTCTCTCTCTCTCTCTCTCTCTCTCTCTCTCTCTCTCTGCCCCCCCACCTCCAGACAAGGAATAGCCTCAAGCTTACTAGGCAAGTGCTCTAAGCTACACCCTCAGTCCCTCCCTCAACCTTTATAAGAAGTCTTTTTAGACTTCTTTCCTAATCATCTCACTGACATTTTAATCTCACACATGTTTATATATGATACCTATGTCCGTAGGTATGAAAAAAAGTGCTATTTTATGCCCCCTTCAGGATCAACTTTTCTCTTTTGTTGGTACTACCGCCATCTTTAAGAATGAATACTATAGCCCAACCTATATTTTATGGGGTTTTCTTAACAATGCTTCTCAAAGGCCAGTGAAATAGCTCAGCAGTTAAAGGCACTTGCCACCAAGCCTAAGAACTTGATCCCAGTTCCTGGGACCCACAGGTTCCCTCAAGCTGTCCTCTGACCTCTACCTGGTGCTGTAGCATGGGCCACTAGCACATATTAATGTAGTAATTTAAAAAAATTTTTTTGTTTAACTTTGTTTTTTATATTTATTTCCTCATCTTTTTTTTGGTCTTTTTGAGACAGGGTCTCCCTATAGACCCAGCTGTCCTGGAACTCACCAGATTGGCCTTAAATTCACAGAGAGCCACTTGCCTCTGCATCCTGAGTGCTAGGACTAAGGCATGCGCCACCACCCCGGCTTGTTTCCTCATCATTTATTTCACTTCCTCCTTCTCTTCTTTGTATATAATAGAGATCCATTTTCTTTTTCCATATTTATGGAAACTAGTTTTCCAGGACCACTTATTGAAAATACTGCTAGCCCCTGTGGCCATTTTGAAGGCCTTTTCTGTCTGTCATATTATGTGTGCATGTGTGGTCTGTTTCTGCGTTCTTTCTCATTTTACATTGTATGGTAAGCTATCCCTGCATCAGTAACAAAGTTCTAATTTTTGTTTGTTTGTTTTGTTTGTTTGTTTCAGGACAGGGTCTCCCGGTAGGCCCCAGCTGGCCTAGAACTTGCTATGTAGACCAGGCTTGTCTCTGCCTCCCAAGTTCAAGTGCTGAGATTAAAGGCATGTACCACCACGCCCAGCATTACTTTCTATTTCTTTGGGCTTGTTTGGTTGATTTGGTTTGGTTTGGTTTGATTTTTTTGAGACAGAGACGTCTCCCTGTAGCCCCAGCTGGTCTGGAACTCATGATGTAGACCAGGTTGGCCTTGCACATAGATCCACCTGCCTCTGCCTCCTGAGTGCTAAGATTTAAGGCATTTGCTACCACACCTAGCTAATTTTTATTTCTTAATGCAGTTTTTTCACCATCAAATTCCCATACTGAATAATGAAACCTGGCTTACAAAAGAAGGTTTAATTTTGCACCTGTCTTTAAGTCTTTGTCCACAAGTTCAACAAAACACACACAAACACTGCTAATAATAAGTCTTGCTTTCTGGTAAGTTAAACCTCTTTTCTTCTTTAGAAGTATCCTGTCTATTCTTTGCTCTTGGCTCTTTCCTGTGAGTGTTTTTTTAATGGTTGGTCAGATTTCAAAAAGAGCATCATTTGTAAACAGCAAGGACAGAGATGTGTACCTACATGCAGAGCAGTGACATTAGTGAAACCATGCCAGAGACCCAGCATGTCTGAAGTTCAGGCACTAAGGTCTCCAGAAGCCAGAACATAACAACCCTTTACAGAGAAGCTCAGCCAGTGTCAAACAATCAATTGTGGCTGTCTCCACTTGTTACTAACCCAGAATATCACAAAAGTGCTAAGCCTTTCTCATAAGCCTCTTTTGGGGAGATTTATTAGGAATCCAGAATTACTTACTTTGAAAGAGGAAAAAAGGGAAATAACTTAGTTGTTGAATCCAGCTCTAAGCTAATAAGATAAGTAAGAATGGAAAACAAGGTCAGAATTTAGAGTTCAGACTCAGGAATCAATTACAGACAAGGAGACAAACCTAGCTGAGTGCATAGTCCCTGCCCATTCCCTTCCACAGAGAATGTAAGTGGTTCCAGCATCAATCCGTGTCTATCACTATCACTAGGGTCTATTTTGTTTAAGGTAACAATTACTATGAACCTGGCTATCTTCCAAGCATGTAATATGTACTAACTGATTTAAACCCAAATCAACTCCAAACATGTATTCAATTAACAACTGAACAGCTCACATTTTCCTTTGAGGAACAGATCACTGAGGAAAACTGGAGAATTCCATTCATGTTCAGAGCTCTGACAACCTGGATGTTTGGGCCCTTTCCTACTGCATCTTGCTTATTTAACCTGAATGGAAAACATGCAGAACCAGGAGTTCATCAGGTTACATCATTTGAAAACAAAGGCAGACAAGATGGTGACTATTCATTCCCTCTATGGAGACAGGCATGAGAAAGGGAAGGGGGGAAGATTAATAATCTAGAACAAACTGTCTAGGGTACCCATTACATCCTCTGTAGTGGCTATATGAATAAAGAAATCTTGGCCCCTTGCTCTGAGCCAGGAAGTCCTTGGTATCAAATACCAAGTATTGGCACCAAGGATTTTCCAACAAGGAAGGCAGCCGCCTGAAATCCTTTGTGGAGCAAGACAGGTTATAAATAGACCTATAAATTTTTTTAAGCAGAAGGCAACAGGCTTAGCACAGCTATTCTTCCCTTTTGGGTCTCCTCCCTGCATCGCCTTCCTATTAAATCCTGCTACCAGGCAGAGCCATCTGTTTACTAGCCAATCGGCTGCTAGAGCCTCAGGAGAGCCAGGATGGGAACTGGCTTCTATGACAACTTCAGGTTGTGACCTTGCTTGTGGAAAAAAAAAGTAAATCTTCCTAACTTACCTCTGGCTAAGTGGGCAGGAGGTAAAGGAGACAAGAATTAATTGTCCACTTTGCCCCTGCTGACTAGAACACTAATGAATTCCTTTCAGAGGCAGCTCTGGCTGAGCGACAGGCTAAAGAAAAAGGCCCTGTGCTGAGGTTCTGGAAGATGCAGCTGAGACCTGTTCTGGGGGTGTTTGGGTGCAAAGAGCAGGGCTGCGGACATCTCATCTCCTAGCAGATCCAAACACACCTGGGCATGCAGATTTAGAATTATTTAGGCCATCATCTCTCGGACTTTATTGAGCCCAGAACCACCTGGAGGCTTGTTAAAGCACACAGTTCTGGGTTTCATTCCCAGTGTTTTTGATCTGGTACATCCCAAGTAGGGCCTGAGAATCTGCATTTCTCCTGAGTTACCAGGCGATACTTACGCTGCCCACTTGAAGAGCACACTTTTGAAACGTTCAGTTTAGCTCAACTCCCTGATTTTAAAAATGAGGAAATAAAACCCCCAATACTTAATGAAAATACATATCCAGGGGCTCCAACCTGTTAACTGACTACAGCCAAACTATACCAGAGATACCTGGTCTTCTATTGTGTAGCTTCATCCCACCACTTCAGGCTAACATAACAACCAGGATGCCAACATGCTATTCTAATCATAAACGTGGAATCCTTGGCTGAAGATGAGCAGTCTCCATGCTGGTTCCTCTTCCTCTTCCTTCGCTAGCCCAGTATAACTGGGCTGCTGGATCAGCACATAAATAGCCCAGCCTCATTATCCACCCACCACCCAATGGGGCTTAGACTCAGACAACAGGCCCATACCCAGGTGCCCCCTCCTAAGGTCCCTGTATCTACTTTACTGCCCTAGTGGCCCTGTTAGTTAATGATCTGAGGCCTCTTTAGTGCCTTCTGGGTCTACCCATTGGCCCTGAGCTATAACTCTTCCTCCATGTTTCCTGAAAGCTTTGGCCTTGGTGTCTGACATTTCACTTTATTGTCCTGCCTCTCTTGAAGCTAAAATTCTACTCTATGGGGGAGGGAGTAGACTATTCTCTTTGTCTTCATTCCTGAGCTGTAGCTTTCACCTATACTTAAACCTGTTAGGTCCTAAGATCAGTAAGCAAACATCCTATGTGACTTCTGTCTATCTAGAGGTCTTCTGAGCCCCAAAGTGCCTCGTTATTCTCTCAGGGTATCCTCTGCCAACCAGACTGGAAACTTTGGGCTCAACCTGGTATACAATCAAAGGTGAGATTGACTTTAAGCTGCCTGGCACTGGCACTTCCAGGACTGGTTTCTGCAGTGGAGCTGTTCCCAGCAATATCTCATCCTAGCCACATTTCATTTCCAAGGGAGATCTGGCATAAGGCTTCCTACAGAGGGCAAGTACTTCAAATAACTTTCCCCAGTGCAGGGAAGCAATAGACCAGACCTATCTACAGTAATGTCTTGCATGCCTCCCTTGATTTGGAAGATGGTGGTCTATAAGAAGACAGAAACAGCTAAATCATTCTCTATTAAGAATTGGTTGAGGAGATGGAGAGATGGCTCAGAGATTAAGAGAATTAACTGCTCTTGCAAAGGACCCAGGTTCGATTCCCAGCAACCACATGGTGGCTAACAACTGTCCGTAACTACATTTCCAGGGGATCAAACACCTTCTTCTGACCTCTGAGAGCATTTCACAACACAGGTGCACTTACACACATGCAGGCAATACACTCATACGCATAGAATAAAAATTTTTAAACAATAATAATCAATAATAAAAAGAGTTTGAGCTAAGCTTAGTGATACATCTTTAATCCCAGCACTGGAGAGGCAGAGGCAGGAGGATCTCTCTGAGATTGAGGCCAGCCCGTCTACATAGAGAGATCCAGGCAAGCTGGGGCTACAAGGAGACCCTGTCTCAAAATACCAAAGGGGTAAAAGAATTGGTTGGGTTGGTGAGATGACATAGCACATAAAATTGCTTACCATGCCAGCTTGATGACCTGAGTTCAATCCCCAGATCCTATGGCAGAAGGGGAGAGTCAACTCCAGAACATTGTCCCCTGACTTCCACACACATGCTGTGGTACGCATTTTCTTACCCCCTTCTCTGTCTCTGTCTCTGTCTCTGTCTCTGTCTCTGTCTCTCTCTCTCTCTCTCTCACACACACACACACACACACACACACCAACAATAAATAATTAAAAACTGGCTGATAACTAGAGATGATGGAGAAAGTACAAAAGAGGATCGTGGAGAAGTTTGGAATGGACTGAGTGGCACAGAGGTGGGAGAGTAGTCGATAAGAGATTTTCTTACGTGAAGTGGCCAAAAGACTTCCCCTGATCAGTTTTTCTGCTTTGGAACTATCTGACCTTGTTCTTTTTTCTTTTTTCTTTTTTTTTTTTTTGTCTTTTTTAGATAGGGTCTCCCTGTAGCCCCAGCTGTCCTGGAACTCACCATGTAGACCAGGCTGACCTCGAACTCACAGAGATCCACCTGCCTCTGCCTCCCAAGTGCTGGGATTAAAGGCATGTTACACCACGCCCGGCCATGACCTTGTTCTTGCTCCCAATATTGCTGTTCTTGCATAACTTTTGTGGTGGTGACATGGAAGGTGAGGAGCAGGACAACACACAAAAGTGTGACCTGTCTCACTCACTTCTGCTGAGACCCATGTGTAGCTCATAGCACTGTATCTCAGTTCTAGGCTGTAATGGGCTTCCAGGTGGTGAACATCAGAGGCATGGGTAAGGTTTAAAAGTACTGCTGGCAACAGCTATCAAAATGCCTGCAAGCGAACCCTGAATCCATCACTCTCAATTGGGAGCCTTGGCAGACAAAAGAAAAATGAGGAGGAACCCAATAGAGGGATGTTTTTGGAAGCTCTCATCAAAAAATTCCAAGGGACTCTCTTATGAACATTTGAAAATTGTCCTGTTCTGACTTTTTTCTAGTTCCCTGTCTAGAACTTGTAATGCTAATTACTCTTGCCTTTACCTCTCCTTCACATCTCCTATTCATGATTCAAGGACTTTCTTTTCCCCCTAGAGATAAGAGTTATGCAATTCGGGAGTCTTTTAGATAGACCCACTGAAGGGGTACCCCAATTGTCTCACCTTGCGTCCCTGTTCAGCATGGAAGAAGCCAGAGCAGTCTGAGTCCCGATTCCCTATCTGCGAGTTGGGTAACCTCTTCGGAGGATGGTGTGATAGGAGGTAGGAATTGGCTAGGCAGTTAGGGTAAAAAGGCCCCAAAGAAAAGTAGCCAGTTTCTTGGCTAAAACTCACAATGTCCTTGGGCCTCTTAGCAACATACTCTGTTACAAAGGCCAAAAAATGTTGAAAGTATTTGGAAGCTTTTATCTAATCCTTAAAAGATTTTAGGGTTATCGCTTCAGAAGGGGGAATATTAGAGTAGCAAAAAGCCCCATTAAAAAGAAGGAGGAGAAGGAGGAGGAGGAGGAGTACATGAAGTTATCAGAAAAAAGTGATGGGGAGATATGGAGGAGTTGGAGGGAGGGAGTGGGCATGGATTTGATCAAAATGCCTTTTATGCTTGTATGAAATTCTCAATAAATTATTTTTTCTAATTGCTGCTGGCAGACA